TCTTTATAAGCAAAGGTTTTCTAAGAAGTGATTACCATTTTCATTTAAAATATTACCTTTGTCACTTGTTTTCATTTCCATTGATTGTTACGCTGTTTGTTGACTGTGACAAACAAAAGTACCCGAGCTTGTGGGCCTTTTAATTCCATGTGATTCACATGTGCTATGGTGGTAATGTACCCACTTGTATAGTTATCCTCACTGATAGGCAAAGATATATTTTTAGATGACTATTGCAGACTCTGCAATGGTAATGTGACATTTATGTACTAATTTACATCTGTATATGTACATATATATGTGTGTGTATTTGTAAGTCTATCTTTTGAATCTATCTACCTAGAAACCCAAGCCATTGAGAAAGGAAGCAAGGGAAGCAGGAGAAGTTTTTTGTCTGATAACACAATTTAAAGGTTTGAGAGTCATTAACATGAAAACATGATTTCATAGGACACACTTAGGGTGTTTTTATTATAGTTTTTATTGTTCCAAAATATGGCAATAATGGATCTGAACCTCTAAGGAATTTTAGAGAACATCTGAAGAATTGCAGTTATAACTCAATGGAACACAGTTTGAAAAATAATGGTTTAGCTGAAGGCCTTTATTTCTTTTAAAATGCAAATATCTCTACCTTCATCTGCAATCAGTCATATATAACTTAATGTGCATAAATTTATTAGACATCTTGCTGAGGCTTAGATTTAATTCAGAAGAGGGGGGCAGCAAAGATGAACTCAGCAACTGAAACAAATGGGGAAGATTGACTACTAAGGCTAAGAGCACTGGAGATGTACCTGGCCTACCTTACAATTTTGCTTAAAGACCTGCTGTCTATACATAATACACCTATTTGTATTTTCAATAGTAAAATAATAATAATAATAAATAATAGAGAGAAAACAACAAAAGACAAACCCACTAAGAAAATATCTACTGAATTAGGTGAGTGTGAATGTGTTTCAGAAATGCATTCAACTGTTACCAAATATTTTTCTCAAACAACAATGCAATTAAATGAATTACTTGTAATTTTGGTCAACTTGAATGCATAAAATTTCCAACCAGTGAATTTCTTAATCGAAGATACTCCAATCTTATACTGTGAGTGTCCACAAATATTACAAGCAAATTTATTGTCCAGGAGTCCCAGATCATGTACAGCTAAATATAAATGAGAATTTAATGCTCCAAACCTAATCCTTTACCTTTGGTCTATCACATTTTTTTAATTTAAAAGAAAAATTGTAAATGTTTTTCTTAATATAAATCCTTTTTGTAAATAAAATAATTTACCCTTATTACAAAAATCTCGTTATTCATGATGTCCCCCCTCCACCTGCCCCAAAGCTTTCTAAAGTTTATGGAAATAAGAATCCATTAAAATATAGTAAAAATTTAGTTTAAATTTCAAGTGTTTGATGGATGCATATCAGAAAAATTGTTAATTAATATTTTGAGAACGTGTTCCTGAAAAAGAAGTGACACTTTCCAATTTTTCACTTTTTTACATATATAGTAAAAGATACTAATTTGCATCTGGGTTAAAGAAACAGGTTGGATAGAAGCATAGAACAGACTGACAAATCTCAGAGGGAAGCGGGGATGGGGGAGTGGCCGGGGAGAGAGTAATCAAAGAACTTATATGCATATATGCATAACCCATGGACACAGACAATGGTATGGAGAAGGCCTGTGGGGGAAGGGGGAAGATGCAGGGTGGAGGGGATCAAATGGGGGGGATGGGGGCATCCGTACTACTTTTAAAAATAAAGATAAATTAAAAAAGGAAAATAAAAAGAAACATGTTGGAGTAGAATTATATTTTCTACATTTCACTCTAAAGTCAATACTGCAATCCTTTTGAGTAAACTTGAAAATATATTGATCTAAAATGCTGATGGACCCTCACATTATTACCATTGTTTTTGTGAAATTAAAAACACAATGAAATGATAGAAATGCTTACCATTTAGGAAAGGGATACATGTAAATACTTTAAGTAGTAAATTTCACTCCTCACTATCAAGCACAACATTTAATAATTAACAAAACAAATTTGAAACCAAAACTTCAAAGCTTTGGAGTTACTTAGAAAGTGGAGTACTTTCTACTATTCTGTTGCAAAATATATTTAAAATTTTTTTCTTGATAAACTTAATTAAAAGGAAAAACTAATTAACATATAATAGTCTACTTTTTGAATTCAACTCATAAAGTCATTATTAATCAATGAAATTATACTTACCTTGAAATAAAACTAAACCCAAACTATAAGCATAGTTGGATAAGAGAGGAAACAAAAACATTGAGCCAAATCAGTTATAAACATGCTTCTGTTATTGCTCAAACAATGATCTTTAAAAACTCTAATTTTTTTCTCCATCTTTGTATTGAGAAAAAGTACTATTCCTACGTCACAAACCCTGTAGGTTTCCACTTTCTTCTTTCCCAAGTTTAGGAAAACCGGGTCCTAATAGTTTTACAATAGACAGCAAGGAGATAGAAAGGGAACAGATTCCTTTTCCTATAGCTATGAGCACTAATAGCCAGTCTACGAGAATAGTTCGTCTGATTGGTTTATGCTTTGTTCTAAATATGTATTCTTGAGAAAAAGCATACAGAGGGGTAGAGTGAGGCCAATAGATGGTATGTCTGTAGCAGCTCCATGGGGGGTGTTTGCACATTTGTCTTGGTAAAGCTTAACTATGAGTCTTAGGAACCTTAACAGCTCAGTGGGTGAATATACTTGGCAGTTGAACACTGAGAATCAATTCAGACACATAACTGTCATATCTACATGCAAATGACATGGGAAGTATTAGTATGTAGTGTTCAAATGAAAAATAATCCTGGAAATTATTAACTCTTTTTTAACTGCATAGACTATATTCCTAAGTAATATATATGTACTCACTTCTTCTCTAGGGAGAAAGCAGAGCTTTTTTAAATAATTTTTTAAATATATATCTTTATTGATTTCAGAGAGAAAGGAGAGGGAGAGAGAGAGAAACATCAATGAGGAGAGAGTCATTGATCAGCTGCCTCCTGCACGCCCCCTACTGGGGATCGAGCCCATAGCCCAGGCATGTGCCCTGACTGGGAATCGAACCCCAATCGCCTGGATCCTAGGTTAACGCTCAACCGCTGAGCCATGCTCGGCTGGGCGAAAGCAGGGCTCTTTAGGTTTGATCTTAGTATAAGTCCTTGACCTAATTTTAACACTTAGAAATTTTTCATTTTCTTAGAAATTTATTAAAGTTACATTTAAATATAAATATATTAACCAGAATAACTCTTTGAAATTGATAATTATATTCCCTTCATTTTTTTAATTCTTAGAGCACAAACCTACTCATTTTTTCTATGTATTCCTCCTTTAAAGAACCATTCCCTCCAAGTTTTCATACAGTTATATTCATTCTGAGTATAAAGTATTTTAATGAATTTGGTATAAACTTGCTTGTATTAAATTACACTACTTTTGAAATAAGTCAGTCAGAGAAAAAGACAAATACCATATAATTTCACTTATATGTGGAATCTAATGAAAAAAATAAATGAACAAACAAAATTGAAACAGTTGGGGGACTGGATGTAAAAGGTGAAGGGATTAGAATAGAAATTGGTAGTTTCAGAATAGTCACGGGATGTAAAGTACAGCACAGGGAATATAGTCAACAACGTTGCCATAACTATGTGTGGTGCCAGGTGGGTACTGGAAATATAGGGGAGAACACTTTGTAAAGCATATGATTGTCTAACCACTAGGCTGCACACCTGAAACCAACACAAAACAACATTGGAAGTTAAATGTAATTTGAAATGAAAATAAATAAATAAATCACACTACTTTTCAAGATGTACCTCTTTAGGATTACGTACACATTCAAGGGGCATCAAAAACATCTGTCATTGGCAGGTTGCAATAAGCACTTTTTTCAAGAGGATACAATACTTTCTTCATCTATCTTTGTCACCCTCATCTTCACCAAATTCCACATAACAGAAGCCTGCTACTGAAACTTGAATCAGACATCAGAAGATGCCAAAATATAAAGCCATTTATCACCATCAAGCCTACCAACCATCCTCACATTGTATTTTATTTATTAAAAAATAAACTCAGTATTTTATTGGGTCCATAATAAGGCTATATAACTTCATATTTTGTCTTTACACTGAGCTGAGCCAATACATTTTCTTAGGCACCTGAATGTCATCAATAGTATTAGATAGATTCTGGAAGGTAAAGAAATACTACAGATAATTTATATTATTTGGAAATGATCAATTATTAGAATACTACCAATTTGTTATCTTTGCTTATAAAATATATCAATAAGAGTTGGTTGTCATGTCCCAATGTGAAATATATTACAATGTAGTTGAAAATCCTGATCCACAGCTATTCTGCCCTATTTTGTTAGCCCTTTGTCTTCTGTTTCCCAAGTTTCCTAATTGTTGCTATTAAATTTCTGAAACAGTAGCAGCAGATAACCAAAATTTATTGTGGGGTATTTAAACATGCATTTATAAATGGTACTTAGAACAATATCTTAATATAAGATACTTCAACGTCACAGCCTGTCTGAACAAGGCCAAGAATAAAAAATCTTGTAACACAATCTTAGAAAAGCCTTAACTAGGCCGTGTTAGAGCAACTCAAACATCCTGACCAAGACAATCACACTCCAGAATTTAATGTACAATATATACTATATTATTATTCACTAAGTATCCACACATATTTGTTGTCTGTAGGAAGGTACATATCCAAAAGAGAATAAAGGAGAAAAAAAATCCATGAAAAAGATAACCAGTTTATATATGATTGTAGAATCTATTATGATATAATTTAATCACACATGCATATCTGATATTATGAAAAATACAACTGGATAAGTATATAGATAACAGTGCAACGGAAAACTTTCATTTTAATGTAGCCTTTGAAAGCCGAGTAAGAGAAATTTAACAAAGGATGTTAGAAAACTTACCTTGACTTGCAAACTTCAACTCTTTGGCATCTGTGAGTGTGGTCCTTTTGTCAGAACCTTTCTTCTCTATCCGGCGATGGCTTCGTCTTTTCTTAGACTCTCCCCAAAGATTGGATCCTCCATGCATGCTTGGTATATTCAAAATAGCAATTCCTTCCAGGGAGATGTTTATTAAATCTATCTGGACTCCATCACACTGATGAGTGAAAAGAAAAGAACAGAAACAGTAAGATATTTTATCTGTCTTTCCTTGATTTCTCCTTTTGGATTTCTTTATATTTTAATAAGAACTTTAAAATCCACAATATTGTCGTTTCTAAATAAGCTTTTAGAGAACACTTCAACAGTTACCCTAAATGTCAATATGTCTACATAAAGTAGACACTAACATTAACCTGTTGTCATTCAGTCTTTAAAAATGATCAGATTGAATCATCAGGGTCTCTTGGTTTACAGAAAACCTCTGGGAGGGAGATGCCTTAGTATCTGCATATATAACAAGTCATCAATTTCTAATGCATTACAAAAAGGTTGATTCTGGTAAGTTTGGTCAAATTTTAGGTGGAAATTTTAACGACTGCCTTCTGTTTAGAACACACCGCAAGGCGCTATTAGGTGCACGTGAAAAGACAGAACCATAACTCATGGTTTCACTTTTCGGGCAGAGAAAGAAGTGGCTTAAGAGGCTTTTGAAAAAAGAAACAGTACAAAACAACAGTTGCAAGAGCTCTGAATTGCATTAGAGTGGCCAAGGATTTTTTTTCCCCCTTTGGTCGAGATTAAGTTCCAAAGGCGGCGTTAAAGGCGGTGAGAGGCGCGGTTGTCTAAATGCATGCGGGGGCCGCCCGGCCGAGCGAGGGAAATGCGCAGAGGCAGGGGCATTGTTGCCAACCCAGCCTTGCTGCTGCAACAATCAGCTAAAAAATTAAAAATATTGGTTAGGCAGATTTTTTTCTTGTTTGTCTGAAAAATACAAAACTTGCTAACACTATGCTTTGGGATAATCAGAGTGGTCGCTTTTTAAATATTTTGAATTTTCTGTTCATTCCCACTGATGGACACAGGTGGAGAGTGACAAGGCTATCCTGTACTTTTGGAGCCACTCATTGGTTTTGAGTTTCCTGAACGGTAGTAATTACAAATATATCCCAGACGCCGCTCTCCCACATTCAGTTACAAGTCAATATCAGAAGAGAGGTATAAATACATAAGTTTATTTTACAAAAAACTTTGTTAGGAATCTGCGTTTCATAACCTGAAGGGTATCTGCAGTGGGATTGTTTTATGTATGTCTTATTATAGAAAAAAGACATTTATAGTAACTTCGCCTTTTTCTTTCTCATGGGAATCATGATTTCTGAACCTAGAAGAGCTAATGCTACCCCAACATGATAAAAATAAAACCCAAACAAACAAATAGAAAACTTTGTCTTGTTTTGTCTGCATTTGCCTCATCACACTGAACCTCATACTGCATCTTGTTCACTAAAATATAAAAACTGTGAAATAAAGCATCACATTTGAGCCTCCTTGGCAGGGCTAGAAACAAATTCTAGAGAAGGTGCCAAGTTTTCACTCAAATTGTTTCAATGAGGGTGAAACCAAGGTCTGGATGATGTCTTTTTTTTTTTTGCCCCTAGAAACAAGTGATTTTTTCCCTACCTTTTCATGTATTAAATTAAGATGATTTCTTTTTACTAAAGAATTCTACTCATGTGTATACTCACTTACTGCTATATATTCTAGATAAACAGATATTAATTTCATAATTAAAAGTAATCTTGTGTAAATACCCTGCAGGCCTCAATGAATCAAACACATACTGTGTGTCAGGCCCCCCACTGTCTTCAAGTGGAATGCACTGGCTGGATAATTAGATAGTACATATTTTTTAACCTTATTTGCATGCATATTATATCTTTTGCACACTGACAAGCAGCAGTAACAACAAAAGTCAGATTACCACAGGGAATTCCCACAAAGAAGTCTTCATTCCTTATAATTTGCAGCCTAAATTAAAATAATTTGATCTTTGACAAAGATGAAATGTCAAGCAGAAGGGGGTCCCCTACAAGCCATGGCCTGTGGCTTCTGAAATCTGCCTAATTTATGTCAGTCACTTCTTAATACATATTTAAGTATTACACGAAAAAGATGATAAATATGCAATCTGACACCTTTGGTATTTCCCTGCTGTTAATTTATAAAGGTCTGGTTTCCCCCAAACTGACTAAAATCATTTAAATAACAGAAGAATTGAGAAATAAACTGGAGTTGGGGCCTGGCCTCCATTTTCACTCAATATTGGACACAGCAGGTAGTGCGCTAAGACAATTATTTGACTAGGCCCTAGAACCCCACTGTGACAAGTTGCTTTCAGAATTAGCAAAGGGGCACTCCTTTGTTCATCTGCCTAAAAGGAAAGCACACTGGCAAATAGGCTTCAGAAACTTAAACAGGGGGAGCTACATGTGACAACTGAAAAATATCAGTGTATACGATTATTCATGTTGGCAATCTTCAGCCTTGTCACGTGTAGTTTACAGGGAACAGAGTAAGTAGCTCTCTAAATGGTGAAAAAAAGAAATCGTTGAGTCCCCACAAAGGACTGATGAAGAACACTGAGGTTCCTAGGAGAGGAGGAACCTCTTACATAAATGGCTATTTATTAATGATTTGTTTCCACTAGTTCTTGACCCCAGGCTACCTTTCTCTGTTTGCTTTAACCTTATGTTCGTTAGTCTGGAAAATTTCAGCGCTAGCTCTGATGGAGACCAGGAATGGTCTGGTGCACACTGGTGGAGTGCATGGAAATAAAGGCCGAAGGGAGAGCTCTGAAATATAAACAAGTTATAATACTGCGTCAGACAATATTTTCATCTGCTTGGAAGATTTATGATTTTTAAATCATAAATTTACAGAGGAAAAGAATATAAAAGCTTAAAAGCTAACAGTCTCGGTTAGTCAATAGGTCCTGAATATTTTTATTATGTGGAAAAAAGACTGTTAGCATACAGCACTAGGAGAGCTGTTTGCAAAGAGCAAAGCTGTGATGCCATGGTCCACTCTTTTCAGGTTTAAAGGGAAGGTCTCATTCCACAGAAATTTACCTAAAAGAAAAGAAGATGGTTTGAATTTTTTTTGCCAGAGTCTTTTAATTCTTGTTTACTAATATGCCCTGCACCATACTATACAGAGGTGTTAAGAACAAGCTTTTAGATGTGAATTTAGTGTTTTAGATTCAGTTAACATATCATTTGATAGGAAAATTCAGAACATGAGTAAATCTGAATAATAAATTTGATAAGATAAAATTAATGATAAATTGTAGCTATATTTTTTTTCACAGTGAGTCTAATTTTCTGCCGAGGTCAGATAAAAATTATTTATATTTTGCTCAACAAAACACAAGAACATTGCTTTGTTCATTGTATAAAATAGTATGGAGTAAAATGACTTATTTAAGTCTGCTTTTAGAAGTTTCTGCAAATTCATACTTAACTTATAAGACAAAATTACTTATGTTTTTGCTGAAAACTATAGCAGCAAACCTATAAATTAAAACATGCACATGCATAGATAGCTTAACAGTATCTCTTCTGATATTTGAAGGCTCAGGTACATTGTATTTTCCCAGTGATTAAACCCATGTTTTAAAAAATAATTTTATAACTTTTATCTATTAAAAAATGCATGATGAAGGTACTCAGAACATGCATGTTAGGTAATTTTAGTAATATTGCTAGCTCAAGAGATAAAGCATTAGCTATAATATTAACAGAAAACCAGTTTAGTTTCATATTTTTCATTGTTAGCAGATTCCGTGAAAGCTAGACATTAGTGCTGGAATATTAGAATTCTTACCAAAAGTTATTTTATTAAAAATAAGTTCTGGTATACACAAAACAGAATGTTCAGTTTTTGGTCATTCACTCTTCTTTTCCCTCACATTTCTTCCCTACTCTCTTCACTAAGAAAAACTTTGATGTGTGTATCTTAATGAAGTGATAATGCTATACTTCACCCTCCCCATATTTCTTGTTCTTTTTTGTTTTGGACTTAATGAGCCCAACTTTGGTTTCTTATCACTGTCTTTGTTGAGGTCCATACTGTATCCCTTCATCAGTTTCTATAATTTCATTTCCAAAAAAGAAGAAAAAAAATCACGTGGGAATCTTTAGAAGAGAGGGTAGATCTTTTAAGTATTATTATCACACACACACACACACACACACAAGAAAGAAAGAATAAACTTTTGGAGCTGATGGGTATGTTGATGGCATGGAGTGTAGTGATAGTTTCATAGCTATATACTTATCTCCAAACTTAGAAGTTGTACATGTTAAATATATACAGCTATTTTGTATTTCAACCGTGCCTCAATAAAGTGGTTTAAAAAGCAAAAAAGAATGACCTTTCACAAGATTCATTTCCCCTGCTCCAAGGTAGTGTGGTGGTAGGACTAAGGCTAGATGAAGGTCCTTTAAATGGATGTTGAAAGAGCACACAGGAAGATTTTGATACTGGTGGGCACAGCCTAAGTTAAGAAACTCGACCCTATTGCCTTTAACAGCTCTGTGCTTTGCAGGTTACTGGGCAGGCGATGAGAATCTGATCTTTCTAATCTTGCTAATTTATTTTGTGTCCCTGACACTCTTATTGCCATTTATTAATTCTTGAAATCATTTAAGGTTTTGTAGAAGTACTTAACCTTTAAGACAAATCTCAGTATTTTGGGATGGAAATTCTTGGCCTTAACTCTTACCATCCTTTCCAGTCTCACTGACAACCACATACTTTGGAGGATGGGCTACTTTATTCTCTCATGAGCTTTGCTTGGTATATGGAGTAAATGAAAAATCCATGAACTTTGTAGTTTCATTGACGGATGTTGACCTGAGACCTTTAGGTGCATGTACCAAATAGTTTAATACAAACGTTGCTTTTAATATATTATATTGAAATTTTAAAACTTTTCATTTTATTTTTTATTTATCATTTGTAATGAAGTTAGAAAATAACTGATATTCTGAAAATTAAAAATTTCAACTTTGTTAATCTCTCTCTCACCATATATATTATACATTGTCATTTTGTATATTCACACACACATATGTATAAAATCCACAATTTGCCTGGCCGGCATGGCTCAGCGGTTGAGCATTGACCTATGACCCAGGGGATTATGGTTCGATTCCCAATCAGGGCACATGCCCGGTTTCAGGCTCGATCCCCAGTGGGGGGCAGGGGTGCAGGAGGCAGCCAATCAATGACTCATCATTGATGTTTCTCTCTCTCTCCTTCTCCCTTCCTCTCTCTAAAATTAATAAAGATATATTTAAAAAAATTAAACCTATAATTTATTTGTTTCCTTATATGTAAACCTTTTGGCAGCAACACAATCCTTACTTCTCTTAAATTACTAAAGAAAAGGTTTATCTGCTCAATTCTTTAATGGAGGCATAAACTTTCTGTAATTCAAAGGATTCTGAGGGAAACTTCATCAAATAATGTGTGTACATTGCTTAGCACCAAGCATGAGGTATAGTTAATAATAGATAAATCTTAGCTATATCATGATAAACTAGTACCCAATGATATTCATATTATTCCAAATATTCACCCCTTTTGGAAAACAACCTTCCTGTATGAAAGAGAAATGTGAAATGAAGGGTCATTCAGTAAATGCTGTGTTTTGAAGAAGCTGCTTATAAAATATATATACTGTAACCATTACATGAGGTACTCTTGTACTGAAGTGGTTTTATTCTCCAGTATATATTTTCAAACCATAGTTGGTATAATTTTAGGCCAAATAGGCAGCAACAGGAAACAGAATCGAATTTCCAAATTGCTGCTTTTGTTATATTTAATTATGAAGTAACCTTGAGGGTAGAAAGGCGTATTCTGCTAATATGATAGACTGGATTCATTAAAAAGGCCAGAAGCAGATTTTATATTACCATCCACACACACACACACACACACACACACACACACACACACACACACACAAACACATACACCACCCCCACCCCCCAATTTTAGAATTGAGACAAACATAAGATCATAACACTATTTCAAGACATGCAACAAGAGAATGGAAAGTGCACAGCACTAGTTCTGATTTATAAATGTTACTGCAGTGGTTTCCACAAGCCAGTAAGTACAGAGCTGGTAAGGCAGACTAGAAGGGCATGTAGAAACACCAGCCTAAGAACAATAACTTAGTTCTAGTTGCCCAGATTCTTCGGGAAACATTCTTAATAGTTTTTCTATAAGATGTAAGGCACAATGATTTTGTTCTATGGAAATCACAAATTTCATTGTTTATTAACTTTAAAATCAATGCCTTACACATTGATTTTCACTCAGATGTCTTTTGCTAGATGATACAACCTTTTCCTTGAACGTTTTTTATTTCGTGACACATGTAATATTTAATTGTGTGGATGTATGTATTCATTCAGCTACTGACAAACCTCTCTTTTGCTTCCAAGTTTTCGCAATTATTAATTAAGCTGTTAAAAATATCCATGTACAGGTTTTTTCATGGACTTAAGTTTTCAATTCCTTTTCGTTTTCAACTCTAAGGAGCATGATTGATGGGTTATATAGTTAAGAGTATATTTAGATTTGTAAGAAAGTGCCAAGCTGTCTTCCAAAGTAGCTCTTCCACTTTGCATTCCCACCAGCAATGCATGAGAGCTCCTGCTTCTCCACATCCGCACCTGCATTTGATGTTTCAGTCTCCTAATAGGTGGTAGTGGTGTCTCATTGTTTTCATTTGCATCGGGATGAAGCATCTGTCAAAATCTTTGTCCCATTTTTCAGTGGGGTTGTTTGTTTTCTTATTGTTGAGTTTTTAAGAGTTATAGTCTGGAGCAGAGTCCTTTATGAGACATGTCTTTAGCAAATAATTTCTTTCCATCTGTGGCTTGTTCCCTCATTCTCTTGACATTGTCTTTCACAGAGTAGAGTTTTTAATTTCAACGTTGTCCAGCTTATCAATCATTTCCTTATGTCTTTAAAGTGTATCTAGCCCAGCTGGGCATGGCTCAGTGGTTGAGCGTCGACCTGGGATCCAGGCTATCGGGGTTCGATTCCCGGTCAGGGCACATGCCCGGGTTGTGGGCTCGATCAATGACTCTCTCATCATTGATGTTTCTATCTCTCTCTCTCCCTCTCCTTTCCTCTCTCTGAAATCAATAAAGATATATTTAAAAAAAATAAAAAAATAAAAAAAATAAAGTGTATCTAAAAAGGCATCACCATATCCAAGGCCATCTAGGATTTTTTTCTATGTTATCTTCTAGAAGTCTTATAAGTTCGCATTTTACATTTAGGTGTTTTGATCCATTTTGAGTCTATTTTTGTTAAGAGTGAAAATCTATGTCTACATTCTTCTTTTTTCTTCCCTTTTTGCCTGTGGGTGTCCAGTTGTTTCAGAACCATTTGTTAAAAGGCCTTTCTTTGCTCCATTGTATTGCCTTTCCTCCTTTGTCAAAGATCAGTAAACTGTATTTATGGTGGTCTATTTCTGGGACCTCTACTCTGTTCCATTGATCTGTTTGTCTTTTCCTTCACCAATATAACACTGTTTTGAGTACTGTAGCTTTATGCTAAGTCTTGAGGTTAGATAGTGTCAGCACTCCAGTTCTGTTCTTCAATATTTTGCTGGTTACTCTGGGTCTTTTAACTCTTCATAGAAACTTTAGAATCAGTTGTCAATAGTACAAAATAATGTTGGGATTGTATTGAATATATAGATTAAGTTGGGAAGAACTGACATCTTGACAATATTGGGTTTTCCTATCCATAAACACAGAGTGTCCTATAGATTCCCCCCCCCCC